GAGGGATTAATATTTTTTTTTTACCCATAAGTAGCTTTTACGATTATAAGTTTTTTTTTAAAATAGCTTGATGTGCTTTTTTACTTATAAGTAACTTTTTACATTCTAGATAGTGTAATCTTTTATTAATATTTAATTTAAAAATAAAAATAAAAAACTCTTAAAAGATGGGGTTGTGATCACTATTTATTCCTGTCACTTAAGTTTTCACACTTACTTGGTTTATACTATTCATTAACTGGTTCACAAAATGTCCCTTAAAAGTGGGTTTTGCTCTCTCGCTTTCATTTCTCCATGCCAAAGAAAACCTTATCATACTAATTCTCCAAATCTGAGATCTTGAAACTCAGAGGGTCAAAGGAGAGATTTTGAGAAGGAAACTGCAGTATGAAGTGTATAAAGTGAGAAGATGATCTAATCAAAGGTGGGCAAACAACTTCTTCTACGGGAGTTTTTCAGTTTATTATTTTATTTTTATTCTTCAACTTTTTCTGTAACCCCTTCTTTATTTGTAATTTTTTCTTTTGGTAGGGTGGGAGTTTAATTCAAATTCTTTAAAGAATTCAAATCCCCAACCAAAATGGCTTTAATTATAGTAAAAAAGAAGAAATAGAAACCCCGGAAAATGAAAATGATTGTATTAGAGAAGAACAACATAATAGCGTCATTGGTAAATCGGGTTTGTGACAGGTTTGTTGTCTGAGCTGCTGAGGAGATAATATAGAGATTGGAGGTAAGTGAGGAACAATGGCCATAGCACCAAAACGTGGTTACATGTAGGTGCGTTTGCAAGAAGTGGAGGCTAGTTACAAAAGACGTGGTCGGAGGTGTCAATTAATCCATGGGTTGCCAAAATCACTTTCCCTCCTTTCCTTAAAAAGGTTGAATGTTTGTGTTTATGGTCTATTTTGAAGTACTTATGTTTCAAGTTAGTGATTTGAGAATTTGGTGGATTTTGATATTAGCGATCTAATTTTGGTTTTGGAATTGTTGATCATTTAATAACTATGTAGACTTTTAGCATCCGAATTGGAATAGAAATGACCTTTTCAAATTTGAAATGGTTGTTTATGAATGAAAATTGTCATGTTGCCAATGGCTTTTGAGAAATAGCTGTAATTCATTAGTGATTTTCCATTGAGCCGATTTTAGTCCATCTTATTTAATTGATGATTCTACCTAGTGTAATTTCATTAGACTTAGACTAAGTTTCTTGGAATAAAATGATGCATATGCTTGTACATGCCAATAGTGTTCATTTGGAAATATTCAATAGCAAAAATTGTTGGAGTGTTCTACAATAGTTGATTAATTGAAAAGCATTGGATATGCGATTTGGGCAAAAAGGATTTGGTGGTTAGTGATTGTTTTTTAGTTTTCTATGTTTTTTGCATTCAGCGTGTTTCATTATTGTTTAAAAATGCGTAATATCTTTAAACTTTATCTATGCTGAACTAAGAACTTTAGAAATTATGCTGGTTGATGCTCTAACTTTTTTTTTTTTTTTTTTTACAGCCAGGGCCTTGGGAGTATCCATATCAGTGTTTTATAAAGCGTGACCAGAAGAATGCAACATTTTATCTCTGTCTTGCTCTTTCATCATGTAAGTAAACCTTTGTTGGAAATTTCTAAGATAACTTATAAATTGAAATTTGCTTGTGTACCAAATGATATTTAATCATTTTCTCTATGGACAATTGACTAGATAAAACATTGAAGTTTAACATCTATAGTTAGGAGGATCGTGAAAAATCTATTTAGTTATTAGTCTTTATATCTCGTGAGTAGAGACATTATGTTTGATGTTTGCTAAGAATCTTGACTTGGTCCATTAATTTTTCTTCATTTCTTGTGCCGCAATGACTATTTTGAATGCCATATAGCAAACCTTAGTGATTATTTCAAATGCCATGACAAATATATATGCTATTATTTCAAATATTGTAGCCTAACTAACATTTTAAAAGAGTCATTCATACATTTTTTTTAAACGAATCTCATTAACTTTTGTCATGTAGCTTCGATGTTCGGCTAGCATTTGAAATTGGAGCCTTTATGTCAAGAGAAAAAGTCGACGTGGAGGAAAGAATTGAATTTCATACTATAAATACTCATGGTTTGATGTTTATACATTTGATTTCAAAATAGCTAGACAATTACATACTATCAATTCTAATTATAATGCAATCGATATATGTCAATAGAGTATAAATGATTCTTTTATCACCTATCAATGCAAATGATGAAGTCATCTCATATAACCCAACATATTTAGCACACTAACATTACGTTGAAAATAATCCAACCCGTGTATCGCACGGGCAAAGACTAGTTTTTACATAAAAGTTAATAAAAGTCATTGACATTTGGAATGTCCGTCACTTTTTTACAATATGTTAAAAGTGTGGATTGAGGAGAAACATTTGAATACCGATTTTACCCCTATATATTTAGCTATATATTAATTTTACCTTTTTATATTTAATATAGTACCATTAAATATATATTAACTTCATTTAATATCTGCTTAAGTGTTAATGTTCATTGTTTTATATTGGAGTACTTAGAGTTTTACATTAATCAAATTAAGTTTAATTACTTAAGTTATATTATTTAAATTAAGTTTACTACTTAAAATCGAAGCTCACATATATAGATGTAATTTTATCATAATTATATAATATTATATATTAAAGGTTGCATTAAAATAATAGCAGATTAATTATAATATAAAATAATATTTATTATAGTTTTAATATAATTATATATGTGACGAGTTTCGATTCTAATGATTAAACTAAATTTAATTAATATAGATTATGAGTATTTCAATATGAAAAATGAACTTTATAGTTAAAAGGAAACTACACGAAGTTAAATTGTAATTAATATATTATTAACGTCACATTTAATATATTATAATATTATTTGGATAAAGTTTGGTGTATATAATTTTATGTACATAAGGTGTCATACACTCACATGGATGGGGGGCCACTCGAGTTGGCCTCACATGGGCTCCTCCACACCCATGTGAATGTATGGACACCCTTATGTACATAAAATTATGTACACCGAGTATAACCCAAATTATTTCATATGCGCATGTATATATATTATATTATTTTATTTTTTATTTTTATAAGTGAACTTCACTTAAAATCAACATCCATCTACTTATATAATACAAGTATGATTAGTTCGTAGTTTTTTGTTTTTAAAGGTGCTTAGATAAGATTATTATTATTATTATTTTTTTAAGGTAAAAAGTTTATGTTAAAGACAAAATGAGTAATTTTTTATTTTGAAAATCATTTATGTATCTTTTAGTTTACTTATAAGTAAACATTTTAAACTTAGTTAAATGTACATCTCTTAAATCGATTATTCTTTATGCCCTTCTGTACCACAAAGTTGGTCTATGTCTATGTTGCTGTGATGGATGAAAATATGGGTCCAATGTCTAGCATAAATAAATAAGTAAATAATATATATATATATATATATATATATATTTCTTTAACGATTACGTATATCATTCATTCCATATATAAGATATGCAACGCACATACTTACTACTACTATTTAGTACGCTTTGATCTGATATCTCATGACTTTTAAAATGCTATAAAAGTACTGAAAATATGCAGTTTAACCTTTTAGTCTAAATATATTATTGATGCCCTCATTTTACAATTTTTATTGTTAAGGTGCCATGTACCGATTGCGTGAAAATCAATTATAGTATGATGCTTTGTTTGATTGTCATTCTTCCAAAAATACATTTTTTTCTCTTATTTTCAATTACACATTATTCCTTAAAATAATATTAAATATAAATAGAAAACTTTTCCTTATTTATCAATCACACATTTCCTATCATTTGGCTATTCTAAAATGCATTTTTTTCCCCCGTAAAAATGGGGCTCAAACACCATTTGAATAATATTTTTGTCAATTTGGATGGGCCTAGGCACGGTTTAACTTGGGTTGGTTTTGACTCCAACTTGAAACCAAAATCAAATTAATCGGTTTGGGTGAATTTCAATTCAAACCAATCCATTCTAACCCTTAAATCGAATCGAACCGAACCAAACCAAGTCAGTTTGATTTGGTTCGATTAGTCCGTTTGGACTTTTAGTTCAAATTAATTTTTTTTTAAAAAAATTATTCAAGTTTTGGCCCAATTAACTTAAAAAAACTAAAATAACTAAATATCACGAGAATTATTGATTAACAAATAAAATTAGGTTACTAGAGATAAATCAATAGAATACTAAAAAATTTTGTTGTCTTTTTATACATTATGAAGCCTGATTGCTTGAGTGGGAGAAAAGACTGAGCCCTTGTTTGAGCCATATTATTGGAATGAAAATGCATTTTTGAATAGTATATTGATGGAAAATGTGTGGTTAAAAATAAAGAAATATTTTGAATTTGCATGTAATATTATTTTACTAAAGAATGTATGATTGAAATGATGTCAAATCACTGTTGAAGAATGTATTTTTTTTTCAATAATGTGGCTCAAAGAAGGCCTAGGTATAATATCATAGATTGGAGAGAATCATGATATAGTTATGAGATTATAACTTATCTTTTCATTTTTATTTGTTTTAAAAAAAGGTAAATATGTAAGTGGGTTGGATTGATTCAGTTAACCAGCGATTTGAAGTTTTAAACCATGATCGAACCAAACCATCATAATTTATTTAAAATAAAATCAAAAGAAACCGATTACCTGTGTCAAAACTGACCCAAACCGAACCTTATATTAATTTGATCGATTTTTCGATTTTTTTGCTCAGGCCTAAATTTGGGTAACGACAGGTAACGAAGTGTAATAGGTTGTCAGATTTTGAACTAAATACAGAACTTTAGTGACTAAGTTGAGACAAACTAAAGTATAGTGACTGCAGATGAAATTTACCTCATTAATTTAATTAATTTTGTATTAGAGGAATTAATTATTAATTTATTATTCATAACCGATGTCCTCCGGCAACGGCGTCCACACTGGCAAAATCTCCTCTGCAGCTCTGCTAAAATAAGCCTCCCGCTAACATAAGCCCCCTTGCGCATTAACCCCACCATGCCTGGCGCCCTCAAACTCACCAATTTAACTTCCCTTTATGTCCACAAATCCAAATTCCCCCACAAATCCAACCACCACCGTTGTAGATTCCTTAACACACTCTCCTCCTCCGCCGCTCTCACCTTCACCGCAACAATTCTCCGGTCAGAACATTCCACCGTGTGTTGGTGGAGGATAACTCCATGCGCAACCCTCGCGCTTCGTAGTAAAATCACCCTCTTCCCCCACCCTCTCGTCGGAGCATTTAGTGGCCGGAAAAACTACTTTTATACCTCCGAATCGGAGAACAAAGATCAAAATAGGAATCTGACTGGAAATTATAAAAATAATAAAAATAACAATCTCGTGACTCCCATGGGTGCCACTCTCGAACCGACGCCTTCTCCGACGTCTAAATTGCTCACCTTGCCTACAATCTTAACCATTTGCCGGGTTGCAGCCGTCCCGCTCCTCATAAGCAGTATGTTTCTTCCCTTTTATTGTGACGAAAATATGCAATTGTCTGAGATTAATTGTTTGAGTTATTTAATCTGGAAGTTTTGTTTTGTTTGTCTGTTTGTTAAGTTAATGTAAATTCAGGAATTCAAGTAGAATATTTACCCTGGTGATAATTTGTGATTTAATTTAATTAAATATTTCAAAAATTATTTAAGATTTGGGGATTCTTTGGCTTTATGTATACATGCATCTATTCTAACTGAATTGACGGTCAATCAGCTCTACCGGGTTGAGCTTGACTTGATGTTGAAGTTCATTGCAAAATACAACATTAACATGCTACCTTTTGTTTTTACTAGCCTTTTATATTGATAGCTGGTGGGGATCGACTGCGACTACTGCGATATTTGTTTCTGCGGCAATTACAGATTGGCTTGATGGATATCTTGCTAGAAAGGTGCCAACCTTAGACATTCAAATCGCATAGAAATATCTATCTTTTGTGGTGTTTCTATTTTTTTATTTCCATCTTACATTTTGTATGTGTTCTAGATGAAACTAGGAACTCCGTTTGGGGCATTTTTGGATCCAGTGGCTGATAAGGTAATGATGTGCTTATTGTAAACAATATTATGCATGTACTTGGAAGTATTAGCCGATGCTCTGGCCCATTGGAAAATAAGAGATTGTTGTTGTATGTGTAATTTGAATGAGTGAAGCTTATGGTTGCTGCCACCCTGGTCTTGCTGTGTACCAAACCGTTGGAAGCCGGGATATTTGGACAAGCACCATGGTTACTGACGGTGCCTGCAATTGCCATAATCGGTAGAGAGGTAAGTACCTAAGTATTATTTGCTTGTTACAGATCAAAAATAAGCTGCAAACCTCACTGTTGAAGTACTCATTTCAGGAACACATGAAGTGTTTCTTATTGATATCCTCTCTCAGGAGAGAATTCTTCAGATGGAACTATAGCAATTGGAGAAAATTTCCCCTTCCCTGGTTTGGGGGCTTAATTGATTATCTGTGCATATCCATATAGCACACAGGTCATTGGTCGAAATAAGTTGAAACTTGTAGAGCTATGGTGTCCTTGATTCGGTGTTTAGGCATCACCTACTAATATATCATTTGCCAAATGAAAATGTGCCTTATCTGGAAACTTGTAGTGACCTGACCTCCTGCAATTGTCATTCAGTCAATCTTCTTTCAAGAAACATAGATAAAATGCTCATTTCTGCAAGTGGAGATATTCTATGAATACAATCGTCAAATAATTCGAATTTTATCGTTGATAAAGCCCTGTAATGAGGCATCTCTTTTCTTTCTAAGAGTTAATTTCTAGATCATTAAGATACATCAATCAAATCCCTGTTACCCAGATTGGTTGGTATAGATCTATGTAATTGTAATATCATTTATTCAAGTTACTGAATGATGTGGATATTAGCATTCTCTAATGTGATTTGTGCTACGAAGAATCATATATGTAACCAATGTCTCCCTATAGGATAAAAGTCATGACTATCCATCTAGTTTTACTACTGTTATGACAAAAATAGGAAATATGAAATTATAGTAAGCTCGGTGCAACATTTTTGGCTGCTGAATGGTGTTGGTGGCCTTATTTGTGATTTTTTTTAGTTTTCCCCTTCCCTCACTTTAATTATGCTTGTTAATAGGTTAATCTGAAGTACTGGGGAGGCCATGAATGTCCAATTTTAACCCAATGAATGTTACCACCTCTAGCTTTCAGCTGCAATGAAGCCAATTTAGTTCTTAATACAGGATCATCCTGATAGCTTCCTGATTCCTCCGCACAATTGTTACTGATTGAGGGAAATTACTGCCAATATTGAAGCTGCTTAATATATGCTCAAACAAGTAAATTGTGGTACCTTGCACTGAACAGGACAGAAATAGTAATATATGGACACTTAATTGATCTTTGGAAACTAAAATATGGATGAATGGAAGAACCAAAATTTAATATTATTGATATGGAAATGAAGGTGAGCGAACAGCTTCCTTGGCAATTCGAGAGGCCCAGTAACTCTCCTCACTGACTTCACAAAACAGCCGAATGAAATGCTTCCCTATTCCTCCTGTGTAACCGCAGCCCCTCCTTTCTTCCTCCTTGCGTATGTAAATAGAATAGGGGGTCTATCACAATCCAATCAGGTTTTTTTGTAATTTGGATGGGTGAATTTTTATAGATCCATCCTCCAAAGGAACCTGACATGATAATCTTTTATCATGTGGCTCGAGCATGAGTAGCTAGCTGATAGGGATTTCTGCATGTATAAATATACATGTCAATCTATCTCTGATTTTTAGTATGAAATACATTGCAAGAATCTTTAGGGTTTTCCTCCACTGACATGCAATTTTATGATCTCCTTCAAAATGTTTATTTTTCCTGTTGCATATTTTGGTTTAATTGGTTTTAACGGCCTTTGAGTAACCAAACTACCTCTAAATGTAGATAACCATGTCTGCAGTCAGGGAATGGGCTGCTTCTCAGGACAAAAAGCTTTTAGAGGTTTAGACGCCAACCTACTATTATAATACGATAATAGTTGTTAAGTGGTTAATTTGTACTCTTTGTTTGGTAATCCAATGAATTTTTTTCCAGGCTGTTGCAGTAAATAATTTGGGAAAGTGGAAAACAGCCACTCAGATGACTTCATTAACCATCATTCTAGCTGCCAGAGATAGCAGGTTTACTTTTCTTCATTTCTACGAGATTTCATTACTGATAAGTTTTGAGTGAGCTTGAGTTGAATTTATAAATTTGTTAGATTCATCCTCTGATGCACGTGACTATTGTCTGTCCTCTCTCTTCTCTCCATGTGTCTGTGCAGTTTTGTAGGGATGGGATCTCTTGTTGCTTTTGGGGTCATACTACTATATATTTCAGCATGGCTCGCTATGTGGTCATTATACGTATATATGAGAAAGATATGGAAAGTATTGCTGAGATAGGAATCTCGACCTTCATCTGTCTTCTCACTACTTGGAAGTTACAAAATTTTCCATGGAGCACTTCTTTGCCGGTCAAAGAGGATTTCTTCATCGACATGAACAAGAGATTGCTGCTTTCTTGGATCTTCTGCGGTTTCTTGTGTTATGTACTACTAAGAGATATCATAAACTGTCAACATATTGGGCTATTTTCTGCTGCAACTTTGTTTTATTTAATCGGCCGACAAGTGAGATTGCTGGTTCTTAACAGCAGTTGGTAGCCGTCGGATCTAATTTCACATTAGTTTGTTTATTCAGTGGAACGTTTATTTTACAATCAATGCTAGACGGACTAGTTATTGATCTTGGAAAATATAAAACCAAAAGCTGAATACACCCTACAGTTATTTTATAATATTAATGTTACATTTTCATAGTTTTTTGTGTTTGTTTGGTGCTCTGTATTAAATGATTGAGAATGACTGTTTGTGTGCTTTCATTATGTTGTAAGATGGCTGCTTGGTGTACAGGTAAGGGATTCATAGAACCCCTACCGACACCTCACATCGGGTGGGTGTGTGGGTTAATTTTTTGCTATTGTTTATTCAGGTGGGGCTCACTTATTTGTGACTGTCTTGTACATTTTTTGCGAAGTACAAATCTGTACACACTGATGTAGTCATGTTGTAATGGAAAATGGTTTGTCATCTTGTTTTCCATGTTATAAAATGTTGTCAATGTTGTCCAATCGATCTTATCAACTTGCTATTCTATTCGAGCTTGATGCCACAATCTGTGTGCACTGATCTTCCCAACGATTATAATTTTCGTCCTTGATGATCTTATTTTGAACTTAAAGAGACGTATAATGCTTAGAACTCACACATCACAGTTTATATATAAATAAAATTTTAATTTCTTTTTCTTCTTTTGTTTAATCCCATTTATCAAACCCGCCACCCGAAACTCGATTAATGCTGAATTCTGCCAGATTTTCGGGAAGTCAGCATGGTGTTTTATCAATTAATGCGCCATCAGACATGATTCTTGCAGAACTACGAACTCAAAAAAGAGTAGAAACCAAAACGAGGAAAAGAAAAATATCTGGCCTGAATGTATACAAATTATCTGGACAAAATATTTAAAAATTTTGGAACTGCATATGGAGCAAAATCTTGAATTTTCGAACTTCACTCTATTCCTCACCAACGCCTCTGGTTCATATGCCAATCAGCTCAAAATTTCAACCGGGTATTCCCCATGCATCTTCCTGGCTGGCATAATCATTAACATTGCCGAGTGGCGGCGAGATCCCGGAAGCGACTTTATACATTTTCCTATTCCCTTTGATGAATTTTTTTTTTTTTTGGATAAGGTAAGTGTATTATATCCAAAGTGTAAAAATAAAGTACAAATCACAGGAGCATACCCCAGGAAACTAGGTTAGGAATATATATTTCCTAACGACAATTAAAAATATTCGTAGAAAAACTCCATGAATGTTGGAGTCATTTATTCTCGTTAGATGGGATCAAGCCCTTACATAAATTCACTCATGCACAAACCGAAAAAACAATATCTCGAATAACAGTAGGCTCGTGTTTAGGAGCCTTACCATGGGTCCTAGCATTGCACTCACTCCATTTTAGCATAAATCGAAGCCGCAAACATCAACCGAATGACGATGGATTGCATTGACCTCCCACGAAACTACCTCATCCAAGAAAGAGTGTCTGTCCAACTCCGAAGAACCCAAGGCAAGTTACATTTTGCATTCAGAGCATGCCAAACATGCTCAGAAAATGGGCAAGCAAAAAACAGATGATCCAAATTCTCCACTGAACAACCACATAGCACACAATACAAAGACTGTACCAAATCAAAGCGAAGAAGCTTTGTCTGTGTGTAGATGCCACCTAGAATTGCTAGCCAAAGGATAAATGCATGACGTGGAATACATTTAGGGAACCATACAATGTGATACCAAGTCACCCTAGGGCAGCGAAGTCGAAGAGACTCCCAACCATTCTGAACAGAGAAGACTCCATGCACATCATTCACCCATCGCAATACATCCTCTCTATTACTATCCGGTCGAAAGGTATCAAGCGTATCTCGTATCAAGTCAGACAAAGCTGGGGAATGAACTGATGGCCACCTCCAAGTATTACCCTCAACAATATCAACCACCTTAGTTAGTCTACTCAATCTGGATTCACGAATGATCCTCTCACCAAGAATCTTCTCCAAGGGGCCAAGAGGATGTCAATTATCCTACCAAAGCGAAACACGTCTACCATTATCAATTCTGTATTTTATTTTGTCTCTCCCTATATCCCGGAGTCCAAGAATCTTCCTCCAACTCCAAGAGCAATCCCCACGACACTTCCATTCCCAAATGCTCCGTTCTCTAAGTAGATAACATCGTGCCCATGAAACCCAAAGAGAGGAGGCAGAATCCAAAAGTGGATGGAGATTGAATTGAAAAATTAAAAAAATAAAAATAAATTTGAAATTGATGTGGCAGGTAACGCGACGGCGTGCTGTACTAGGTATTGGCATCTCCAGGAATGCCGCCTCTTATCGAAAGGATTGGTCCGCTGAAGGAACTGCGACTAATCAAATGAGAGTCTAAAAACAAAACTATAACAGTGATGTCATCGTGAAAATGTCTTCTCACTCCCCGGTCAATCTTCCTCAGGTCGGAATATCTCATCTCTCTTTTCTTGGCTGCTTCATGCAGTGCAGCTTTGATTAGTTTCCTAGCAATGCCCTGCCAAACATTTAAAGATTTTAGGAAAGTAATTTCATTTCAGGTATAATGAGCACCGAATGAGGATAAAATTAAGTAGCTGGCACATATTTTGCACAGACCAAAGGAGGCTGTTATTGATAGTAGAACAGGTTAGAAGAGTGAGAGGTAGATAAAAACTAACACAACATGTTGCCCTTGTTATGGATCTATTTCTTTGGATCTTTCAGTAGATTTTGAGACGGACCAGAGTGGCAAAAATGGATTATTGTACCTGACACCAAATTTATTGAGAACAAGATTTTGTTCTTTTGGATACAATCCTAATAGTTTACACCTCTATATTTATTCTATATATCTAGTTCATGCAAGTATTCAATCGAGTACAACCCTAAACTTTTGTGCCTCTTAATCTAACTCATTATGCATTCAGCCCATGAAAAACAACATGCTCAATATCCAGGAAGCTCAAACACAGAATCGGTATCTTACGTTGCGTGGACACATGTTGACAATGTTGACTGCCTCTTGATTGCTAAGATGCTCCCATAGGCCATCTGAAGCAAAAATAAGAAACTGATCTTTTGGATGGAGCTTCTGGACAAGTATTGAGGGCTCAGCCACAAGGATCGGTTTCTTGAATGGCTCTGGCTGTCTGAACTTTGGCCACAAAGGCTCTCTATTAAACTCTATTTTCTTTAAGTAAGCATCACCAATTGATCTTGACACCTGAGAGAGCACTAAATCTCTGTGCATGATTATCATGAAAATGGAAATTACTGCACTATGTTCTCTTGGCATAGATAAAGAGTGAACAGAGCTGAAACACCATATTTCCTGTTAATTAAATAATGCTGCAACCTAAAGAACCAATCTGATGTAGAACCAGAACAGAACTTGCGATGTCAACCACTTATGGAGAGTAATAGTTTTAAAATATATCAATTTTGCAAGCAGCAAGAGATAAAATGGTTTCTCAAATATCTTTCGTCAAAGGTTTTCGATGACGGCTTAACAAACCTCTTGACTTGTACAAAGATTTTTTAATCAGTAAAAATTATTGTGGTTTTCCGTAGAGTAGATAAACAAGGAAAATAGTTCAAGCTTAGGCAGTAAATCAATGCAAGAAAGAAAAAGAATCAAAAATAATTATAGCAGCACAGATGCAGAAGGGGAGTCGTGGGTGTGGGGCAGGTCAGGTAGCAATGCTGGAAAGATGGTTTACACAATGTGAACCATGCATATAGTACAGTAAATCCTCCAGAAAATCCATAAGAGTCCTTAATTTTATCATAGAGCTACAACTAGTTATTTACAAGACCCTTTTTTGTTGTCCTTTTCCTTTTAAGCAGTCAAGTATAATCATATGAAACAGGAGTTTCAGCTTAATCAATAACTATGCGTTCTTGGTCGCATCCCACTATACTCAACGAAGTTCACCAACCATTAAATACTAGCCAACTAGTTCACAAGGTATACGTAATCTCCAATGAGGACATCGGTGTGTATCAAATCCATTCCTGAAGTCAGAAATCCTGTTATTGTTAAGCAGTCGTCTGGGCCGGGTTGGGTAATGGAAATCTGTTTATTTTTCCTTTTACCTCGGAGAAATAGTATTAATGTCAATTGCTTCAAACAATAAACATTTGAGCCATAGTGACCAGCTATCCAATCGAGTCATTCTAATCTGTGTCAAGGCAAATTACTATAACTAAATAGATTTCAAAAAATTATCATGGAATACATGTAAAAAATTGTTCGTGGGGACATTAATTTGTAACGAATGATGTTTCCGCAGTAAAGACAAAAGGATGACCCTAATTTTTTTATTCAACTTGTACATTGCTCATGGTGAAACATTCCCTATTCACTATAGAACAACATCAAACTAAGCTTATTTCAATAAATTTGGGGTCAGCTTCATGAATCCTTCTTCACCATTCTGCTTTGTTCATTGCTAGATTTATTAGAAGATCTAAAGCAACTAATCCTTGACAACTAAATGAGTCAATGTTAATTTCAGTCTACCCCTCTATTTTAACATGATCTATCGAAATCGTGTCACTTTTATGAATGGGGACATTGTTTTGCAAAACATGCCTCAACCACTTACATATCCTTACCTAAACATATCCTCAACCGGTGACATTTCCATTTGTTGGTGATTATTGTTGACCCCAAAAAGCGCGTCAACAGATGTCGGTCCCACCCGCGCTTGCGTGGGCGAATGTCCAACACGCTAGGACACGTGGACGGTCTAAATCGAACAGTTCAAAGGGGAGTAGGAGTAGCCCAATGACGCGGGACGGTGACGTTCGGAATCCAACGGGTTGTTCGTAATCCGATTGTACACTAATTACCAATCGGTGCTCGTAAATGTATATGTAAAAGTGTTGAAACTTGATTTGTGTATTGCAAGTAAAATGAGAGAGAGTTGAGTAAAAATAGTCTTTAGTATTGATTCTTGCATTAGCCTTTGACATTACACAATGGAAGTATTTATAGTGATACATATGAAATGGGAGCCCTTGGATGAAGTGGCACGTGGCCTCATCTCTTTAGTTCAAACGTCTTTTCTTAGGTATGGAGCTTGACTTGCTAGCTTGCGGCGCATTTATTGCTTGCGCAGGTCCTCCATACTAGTGACAAGACTTGACATTTATGCTTGTGATAAACGTTTCATCAG